TCAAAATAATTCAAAAGCATCCAATGATATATTACAGCATTTGGTTTTAATAGAGATTTAGTAAATCGTAAGTCCCAAATATTTTTCTCTTTCGTGCTTGGTAAAACTTGAGAGATAAATGTTTTATTGGTCCAGAAGGAGACTAAATACCGAGGCACAATACTTACCATGCATGAAACATGTAAAGTTTTAACTTGCTATTTATATATACTATACTGCATTGCAAAACTGCCATGAAAATTTACTCACGTAGCAGAAAATCTGCTCTCCTGCCCTTTGCCACAGTGATTGATGATAATGTAAGATTTAATACTGAACTCACTCGTCAAAAATGTTTTCACCCATTGGCAGGTGTATAGCATTCTGTGCTTTGATGTATTTTAATGAATGATTATTAGGTTTTTTTTAAAGCAACTTGAGAAAGTGGAAGGTATAGACCAGGAGGCTGAACTAAATTCCTGTTTCTCCCTACTTCTGTGTGTCTGACCTTTTGTTCCAGGGCTCTGGTAGACCATGTGCTGAGGTCAGGAAGATGGTTTTTCCTGACACAAATATTACCTCTGCAAATTTCTTCCCAGCCATCTCAGCTGTGGCACAGGTTGGTCTTGGAGACTGGATGCTGCCTAGCAGGGCAGTGCTGTGACTGGAACAGGGACTAGCAACAAGGGTGTCGAGCAGGATCACGCTAACTAGGATACAGATCTGAGGAGGCAAGGGTTGATCATGTGGATATTTTGCCTTCCTCATTTGTCCATCAGGATCCTTTGATCCCATTTAGTTGATCACTTTTTCGCCTTTTCAGGTGAACCAGGTAACGGGTGCCTGACTGAGGTATACTGCTTAGTATTCCTGGGTAAAGAACATATTCCCTAGTCAAAGTATTTAGGCTTATTAAGCAGACTGTGACATACAGGCAGTCCTATTTGATGGCTTCTGATAATCCSTGGATGTCATCTGACAATCCAATAGGCTCTTAAAGTAATCCAGCCTCAGCAGTGCCTCAGTGCTGAAAATGGCATCAGACAGAATGGTGACCACTGAGACAGTCACTTGACTGGACAAATAACACATCAATTTGTGATGACTTCTGTAGTATGGTTGTCTACCCCCAAAAATCAAATTGGCATATTGCCCTCCCATCCGCTTATCCATGGCTCCGTGAGTGGACATGAAATGGCAACATGCCTTCGCCTGCGTGGGTCCTCCTCGCTCAGCTGGCACTCGTGCTGCCAGGGGTGCAAATGCAAAATGCAGAGACCAGGGAGAGCTCTGGCATTAGCCTTACTCTAGGGAAGTGAAGCTTCTTACAGAAAGAGAGGGAGGGAAGCAGGGAGCAGAGAAATGATGGGAGAAGGAAGAGAAAGAAGAGGGGGAAAAGAAGAGGGAGAGTGAAAGCACCTGAACTCTGTCCTTCATTATGATGGAAATGTGCTTCTAAAATATACTTCTGACTGGGGAAGACATGTCTTTCACATTCATTACACAGGTGTCAAATCACATTTTATCTTGCTGTATCTTGTGCACTGGAGCATAGTGCATATGACATTTTCTAACATGATAAGGCAATAAATCAGACTGAAAGTGAATGAAACTTCATTTTTTGGAGAAGAAAAAAAAAAGAAAGAAAAAAAGCCAGTGACACTGCCTGAGTATCACTGTGCTTCTGTCATTGTTATGATGATTTTCTTTCTCCATTGTCCCTGGCGGAGGATTATTTCTCAAAATAGTTTTTTAAACTAAAATTCTCTGTGTCATCAATGCTTTGAGCATATTCTGTGCACATAAGGGATCAGTAACTTTTAGAAAGAAGTATTCTACAGGCTTTAGAGTGCAATAAAACTCAAGTCTTTGAGATGCGAGAGACACTCCAACATATATTGACCACAGAAATAAAGCTATCTTCAATTAAGTGAAAAATTAATCTTCTGCACAGCGGTTGTTTCTGAAGTAGTGGGATGGTGAAATGGAAGTGCCCTTTGGAGCCGGTGTGTTTTCCCTCCTCAGGTGCACGTTGCTGGAGAGCGCRGGCAGTCGCTTCTTGGCAGAGCCTTGTGGAGAGCGGGCACGTGCTGGGGTGGGAAGGGGCCAGATCCCGCTCCGGGTGGTTGGCAGCGCTCGGCCTCCCGGTGCTCCCAGTACCCGCTGCCCAGCAGTGTCTGCTGGCTGCACGTGGGAGCCCCCTCTCCCTTGTTTTTGCCGTGTCAAAGGTGGGCTGGAGTTGAAGGGACTTCCACRSAAATCCCTCTCRCTGGACGCCCGAGGGGAGGGGAGTRTCACTCTTGGAGCACCACTGCACTTAAGTATCGCTGCACCTAAACAAACAGCCCCGAGCTGTGCTCCTCCTCGCCTCGGGGTCAAAGGAGTGTCGGATGAAAAGAAAATTAAAGCTTATTCATTACTTTAGTGGAGAATTCAAGATAAGGACTATTGTGCTAATGACATCTCTATCTTCATTGGAAGTGTCAGTGGTTAGCTGCAAGGCAGTGGGGACATGAGGGGCTGTATTATAAGCAACCTGGCTGGTGAATTGCCAAATGAGGAAAAAAGAAAAAAAAAGGCACTGTAATTCCTATCTATAGGGTATCATACCATCAGAGTATGGCTCTGAGAGACACTTCACTTATTTGAAGAGTAATAGTTACTATTTGGAAAGTGATACAAAAGTTTATAAAGCAAGTGCTGCCTGTATGAGTGTATTTTCAATAAATATGTACACATATATTTATAATATTTCTGCAGAGAAATTATTTTTCATATGAATTATTCATCTCCTGTACTGACTGTACAGGGGGGCCATGACTTCCTTTCTCAACAAAATAATTTTTGTTGACACTAGGAACAGTGTTTAATTGAACCTATTTCCCCAATTATCACCGGAAAAGCATTTACACTGGTGTTTTGGAAAAAAATGTTTTTAGGAAGACTTATTAAAGCTGCAAAAAAACCTGTCCATGAACTAATGGAATTAGATGATCTTTGAATTCCCTCCACCAGAACTTAGAAAGGCCACTAATTCCTTTCTTTGCTCTTTTGGTGTTTGCAAAGGGGTTCACTAAAGCCTGAATTGATATAATTATTGGTTTGGATTGTTAGCGATTTAGGCCAGATGGCTATGAGTTTCTAAAGTCCCAGTTGCTTGTGTTAGCTTTTGGAGTTTGCCTATAGGGTTTGGGGATCAGCAATTTGAAAGGGCTGCAAACTTGTAAAACAGTATTATTCATGGGGGCAGAATGTTCATCAGCGTGACCCAGTACTAAATACATTCATTATAGGCATTTCTATTCTGCACAATTTGCCACACGGCGCTGGTTTCTGAAAGAAGAGACAATGGCTTATAAAATGCTTTTGAATGCTTAAAAAGAAGGAGAGTTCACGCTGAGCCTCCTCTGCTTTCTTTTTCAACAAGAACCTTCTTAGTGACTTTGGCTGAGCTCTGCTGAGAGTAAGTAAATTGGAAAAATCAGAGATTTACTTTTTATATTTCTGGACATGGCGGGGGCATACAGGAGAAAAAAAAATACAGAACAATGAAACAGAGTGATGGCAAGATTGCTTGAAATGCCAGTAAACAAGCAGATAAAGTTAGCAGAAAAGCAAGGTAAAGAAGAATGAATCCACAGTGAGACTGGAGCTGCAATGATAAAACACACACACGCAAAAGGAAAGGGGAAATAGAAATCACATCACTAATAAGTTATATAATGGCAGGAACATTTCAGTTTCTGGGACCTGGATGCAGCATGAAGCTCACATAATGATCTACAGCATTTCTGGTGCACGTAAAATACATTACTGAGTCAGGCATAAGGGTTTTTTTTTTTTTTTTTTTTTGTTTTTTTTTTTTGGTGCAAGGGTGCTGCAGTGTAAGTGTGAAAACAGTTTTCAGCACTAGAAGATAAGCAATGAATTTGTCACTTTTAGAGCACTTTGTCTTGTGGACTCTTCACAACACTTGGCATCTAGAAGGTGTATTTAGTACACAGATTGTCATGATGAAGCACGAGCTGCTTTTTCAGCTAGGATGAAAAGGATCTGAAGAAGGACTAGGGGAGCAACAAATAAAAAAGCAAGGAAACGTGCGCACACACACACACACACAGGACCCAACTTCAGGCAAATCCAGCTGCACTGAGTACAAAATTTGTGCCAAAGGAAGCCATATGAAGGGCAGAAGTGTGCAAAATGCTGCTGACTTTAAAGATAAGATGAAGCGATCTCCCTGTGCTCCACTCAGAAACACAGATACTAAGGAGGAGCAAGTAACAGGGAGATAAGCAGCAAGAAAAGGCACAGTTAGAGATACATCATCTCCAGCTCATTCCCTAAGAAACACTAAAAAGATTTCAGTTAGAAAGGGCGTCTGAAAATATCTAAGCGAGGAGGGCGGCTGGATTTTTTTGCCGCGGGGAGGAGCAGGCTGGAGCGCAGCCCCCCTCGCCGCTTCCAAGTGCCCCTCCGGTTGGTGTCCCCCTTTGTGGCGGCTCCGTGGGCCGCGCGCGGAGGAGCTGCCCCCTCCTGCAGCCTCCGCCGTGACTTCACCGTCCCCGGCTTGGGCGGCGGGCTGATTGGTTGGAAGGGATTCAACACAGGCCGGGCAAGAGCTTTGTCTGAGTTGAAGTGAAGTTGCACGGATTTTAGACYGGAGTCAGCAGTCGCGGGTGTTTAGTCTGCCGCCGAGCAGGGAGAGGGGAGCTCTCCGCAAGAAGCCGCCGCGGATCCCGCCGGCGGTGCATGGATACTCGCTGCCGAAGAGGAAGGCGCTGAGGCGGCGGAGCTCGGCTGGAAGGGGAGCRGGGAATCAAATGAGCAAGCTTGGATTGCGCACGGACTGTACCTGGGTGTCCCGGCACGGTGTGTATGAAAAAGTTTTCTGATCTACTAAGATATTAAGACTCGGTTTACTATAAAAGACATTTTCAAGTTTTTTAAGGACCAAATGCGTGCCGGCTTTAAGGTACCGGAGGAAATTGAAATAATTGCTTTCTAACTTGCTGGGCAGAATGAATTGCGAAAACTCACAAATGCACCAAATCGGCAGTAAAATGCACTTTATATTCATTTTTGCACTGATGATAGTATCTTTCAATAAGGCTGTGCTGGGCAAGAATCTGAAATACAGGATTTATGAGGAGCAGAGAGTTGGATCAGTAATTGCAAGACTATCGGAGGATGTAGCTGATGTTTTATTCAAGATGCCTAACCCTTCCTCGGTTCGCTTTCGAGCCATGCAGAGAGGGAATTCTCCCTTGCTTGTAGTCCGCGAGGATAACGGAGAGATCAGCATAGGAGCTAAAATTGACCGGGAACAGCTCTGCCAGAAAAACTTAAACTGCTCCATAGAGTTTGATGTGATCACTCTGCCCACGGAACATCTGCAGCTTTTCCACGTTGAAGTTGAAGTGCTGGATATTAATGACAACTCCCCACAGTTTTCCAGAGCGCTCATCCCTATTGAGATCTCAGAGAGCGCGGCTGTAGGAACCCGGATCCCTTTGGACAGTGCTTTTGATCCTGATGTAGGGGACAATTCCCTTCACACCTATTCCCTTTCTGCAAATGATTTTTTCAGTATTGAAGTGAGGACGAGGACGGATGGGGCCAAGTATGCAGAGCTCATTGTGGTCAGAGAACTGGACCGGGAGTTGAAATCAAGTTATGAGCTCCAGCTCACTGCCTCGGATAAAGGGGTGCCTCAGAGGTCGGGCTCCTCCATCCTCAAAATAAGCATCTCTGATTCCAATGACAACAGCCCTGCTTTTGAGCAGCAGTCATATATAATTCAACTCTTGGAAAACTCACCGGTTGGGACTTTGCTCATAGACCTCAATGCTACTGATCCAGATGAGGGCGCTAATGGTAAAGTCGTGTACTCTTTTAGCAGTCATGTGTCTGCCAAAATTACAGAGACTTTTAAAATTGACCCAGAAAAAGGACATCTGACCCTCCTGAAGCAAGTGGACTATGAAACAACCAAATCCTATGAAATCGATGTTCAGGCTCAAGACTTGGGGCCAAATTCTATTCCAGCTCACTGCAAGATTATAATTAAAATTGTGGACGTGAATGACAACAGACCTGAGATTAACTTAAACTTGATGTCCCCAGAGAAAGAAGAGATCGCTTACATTTCGGAGGGGTCACCCCTGGACACGTTTGTGGCCCTAGTCAGAGTGCAAGACAAGGACGCTGGAGTGAATGGAGAGGTAGTTTGCAAGCTCCATGGGCATGGCCACTTTAAACTCCAAAAGACTTACGAAAATAATTATTTAATCCTGACTAATGCCACTCTAGATAGAGAAAAGAGATCTGAATACAGCTTGACTGTAATAGCAGAGGACAAGGGAACGCCAAGTCTCTCCACAGTAAAACACTTTACTGTCCAAATCAGTGATGAAAATGACAACCCACCCCGCTTCCAGACAAACAGATACGAAGTTGTTATCTTAGAAAATAACTCTCCGGGAGCGTACATCACGTCSGTCACAGCCACAGACCCAGATCTAGGGGACAACGGGCAGGTGACCTACACTATTTTGGAGAGCTATATTTTGGGAAGCTCTATAACCACCTACGTGACCATCGACCCCTCCAATGGGGCCATCTATGCCCTGAGAACCTTTGACCATGAAGAGGTCAATCAAATTGCCTTCATGGTTCAAGCCAGGGACGGAGGGAGTCAGCAGCTCGTTAGCAATACCACCGTCGTGCTCACCGTCATCGACGAGAACGACAACGCTCCCGTCATCGTGGGCCCAGCGCTACGCAACAGCACCGCAGAGATCTCCATCCCCAAAGACGCTGGAATTGGCTTTCTTGTCACCAGGGTAAGGGCTACGGATAGAGACTCTGGTATGAACTCAGAACTCAGCTGCTCCCTAGCAGCCGATGGTGAGAACAACATCTTCGTGATGGATCCCAAAACTTGTGACATCTCTATCAATGTCAGTGTAGAGTCAGTTCCAGCAAAACAGTGGGAGTTTTTTGTGATAGTCCAGGATAAAGGCAGTCCTCAGCTTAGTACTAAAGCGCTTCTGAAGTGTACGGTTTTTGAGTATGTTTATTCATTTTCAAGCACAGAAGCAACTTTGATAAGCCAGCCCTCCCTGGATGTCTCTATGATAACAATTATATCCTTAGGATCAATCTGTGTCGTGTTGTTGGTCATTATGGTTATCTTTGCTACAAGATGTAATCGAGAGAAGAAAGACACCAGGTCCTACAACTGTCGCGTGGCAGAATCCACCTACCAGCACCACCCCAAACGACCCTCCAGGCAGATCCACAAAGGGGACATCACGTTGGTGCCCACCATCAATGGCACTTTGCCCATCAGATCTCACCACAGAGCTTCCCCGTCATCCTCTCCGACGCTGGAAAGGGGACAAATGAGTAGCCGGCAGAGCCACCACAGCCACCAATCGCTCAACAGCCTGGTGACAATCTCCTCCAACCACGTGCCTGAGAACTTCTCRCTGGAGCTTACACACGCCACTCCGGCCGTGGAGGTAAGGCCCACGTCACGCGGCCCGCGGTGACACCTCCATCCAATGGAAAGCCATCATGGATTGCCCTTTGGAGGTTACAGCACTGCTGTTGACACTGACACTCTGCTTCAGTGTCAACTGCATCCATTGCCATGGGGAACTGGATCAAGTCTGTTATTGATAGCACTTTTCCTCCATTCACCCTTGATTGTAAGACTGAAAAAGTGGAGTTTAAGATAGGCASTATCCTACTCTAGTTTACTAATCCTTCTCTTTCTTCCTTTCCTTCCCTTCTTCTCTGCATTTAAGAAAGCATTGCAGAGTACCTATATTTAGAAATAACAGAGGAAATTCTCTCATTAATAGGGGTTAACAAATCTAAAAGGTTAAACACTGATCCACTTTAATGATTGTAGTGTATCTGGTATATGCGCATGGTACCTTAAATTTTGAAACCATCCATTTATTTTTTTCTACAAATTCTATTTAATAGCTTAAATGAGGTATGTTCCAGTGACTCTTTGCATATCGTTTAGTGTAATTTTGTTTCTCGGATCCTGAAATGGCAAAGGATCACTTTTAATCTATTACAGCAGAACAGAACTCCACCTCTGTTCAATTACTTTTTTTACTTGTTAATGAATTAATTACTGTGAGTTCAGCAGCTAATGAAGAGCAGTGCATTTCCTCATTACAAAACGTCTTCAGATGTTTTCTGTGGAAAACATTATGAAAAACAGCCTGATGTACTGCCTTATGTTCGTGAATTSAGCATAATTAAATTTTAAAGGAAGAGAAACCCTGAGAATTCAATTAGTTCAGTTGTTGTGCAAACACTGGGAAAGTGAGCTTTTTATTTCAAGGAATCAGTCTTTTCACCTTTTCTTTAGCAGGTTTCTCAGCTTCTCTCGATGCTTCACCAGGGCCAGTATCAGCCAAGACCAAGTTTTCGAGGAAACAAATATTCCAGAAGCTACAGGTGAGGATCTGGACTATTCTGAGAAGTGTGTATATATGTGTGTGTGTGTGTGTTTGTGTGTGTGTATATACATATATATATATACACGTGTGTGTGTGTGTGTGTGTATGTATATAGAAGAGTATGGATTTTTATATATACATACATTTATATATTCATTATATATAAATACACACACATACAGCTATGTGTTTTTAATCAATGTGGAGTCTGATGTATAGGAGATGATTTAATTCATCCATCCCCACAATTCTCTTTCCAGATATGCCCTGCAAGACATGGATAAGTTCAGCTTGAAAGACAGCGGCCGGGGTGACAGTGAAGCTGGAGACAGTGATTATGATTTGGGTAGAGAGTCTCCAATTGACAGACTTCTTGGGGAAGGATTCAGTGACCTTTTCCTTACAGATGGGAGAATTCCTGCAGGTAAGAGCACCAGGGAGGCTGCACAGTTTATTTACAGAGCTGCCCGGCTGTCACGTTGATAAAGCTATTACTGAGAAAGCAGAAATTCTTTAGCTTTCAAGTCTTGTGTTTTCTCTGCCTCATGTTATACGCTGAGCCGAAACCTTCATGCACCTAGGAAAATAAAGATTCAGAGACAACTGAAAATCTGCCTGTAGCAGTGCCTACATGTTTTCTGCAATTATTCACATCATCATGAGCTGGCTCCAAATTTCCCCAACAAGCGTCATCTGCTCTGTGTCCTCAGGTTTTTAATGACTGGGTGGATGTTTTTGGAAAGCCAGACAGTTGTGGTTTGTTAAAAATACACTAACCTGTAATTTGTGCAATGCATTTCCCATAATCCATAGGACTTAGAAAGTTTAAAATGGATTATGGGGGTGGTCTCAGAATATGGATGGGACAAGAGAGAGATGCATCCTTTTTCCCACTGAAAGGTGAATCTCAATGATAGTGGAAAGATACTAATGTGTGTAGGATTTTAGATCCTGCAGCCCTAATTTTTAGAAGGAAAAGTTTAAGAAAAAAGCTTTAGGAGTAGACAACAGAGAAGAGAAAAGCATAGAAAAGGATGACTGAAAGGAAGGTAGATAAATCAATACACATGACTGTTTATTAATGTGTATTAAGCACCATTTTTAATTTCAGGCATAATTATACTCTGAGCAAAGGAAGTGATGGGGAATCATGCTGGGGAATCATGCTAGGTATAAATGCGAGAATTTATTAATGATTTAAAGAATTGTACCACCTCTGATTGTACCCTCAGTCTGGATCCCATTTCAGGCTTATTTCTATTTATAAGTGAGAGGGCCAGACCACTTCCAGCCAGCCCTAGGCTACACCAGGGCTGCTCAGTAGTTACGGAGGCCTTTGCAGGCGGAGGGCTGCCTTGCTCTGCAGCGTGGTGCAGGACACGCTCCTTGGGGCCTCGGAGCCAGGAGAAGTACGAGTGTGGCTAATTGCACGTGTGTGTCCTTGGTGGAGAGGAGTGTGGACAGAAATAGGCCGTACCCTTCCATTTTCCTGGTACACCAGGAAGGACTAAGCCCCAGAAGTGAAGTCTGTTCTCCTTACACATGTTTACATTCAAACTGCTAAAATTTTTCTGCATGTTTTGCTCCAGCTTGCCTTGTGCCACCTATCCAGGCACTCAGATACCTCAGGCTAGTTTTGAGCTCCCAGTGTTTTTAAAAGCAAAGGCCTCCAGAAGTTTTTGCTTCTTTCCTTCAAAATCCTTAACCTAAGTGTGCAGCCCTAATACCATTATTTTATACCAAAACCTATCCTGATAATGTCATTGGCAAAAATTGCATTCATTTAAAGAAGACAATCATTAATACTAATGCAAAGCCAGACCATTCAAAGTCTCCCACTAGTTTGCAGGAATCTTCTTAGTTAGAAGATGAATCCTAGTGTCCTGGGATGAGAGTTGATGCAAAAACAAGAGATGAACTTTTCCTTTAATCTGTCTCTTGTCTTTTCTAACTCTTAGGCATTTCCCATAAAATTGCACACGTGCTTTCCATGCATGACAACAAAGCACTTTAAAGCACTGCAGTCACTTATACTAAAATTACAACCACTGCTATTTTCTAGTTTGCTTTTTAACTTGAAGCTCGCTGATCAGTGGGACATTTGCAATACTTTGTGCAATATCCAGCCTGCAGCCTAAACCTACGTTCTTCAAGCAATTCATCCTCTCTCATGGAGGGAATAGAGCAAGTACAAACCCAGAGGAGTGCGAAYAGCATTAGAAACCCAAACAGTACGATAGGCTGTGTAAGCACAGAGATAAATAGAGCTGACAGCATTAGAGTATCACTTTATCAATCTTTGCTACAGTCTAAGCTATAACATTCTGTTCAGTTCTGCTTACTGCACTGCAAAAGCAATTTTTGAGGAGGTGAGTTGATCCAGAGCTAGTTGAGAAACTGGGAGAACTTACAGGGCATGACTGCAAGCATTTGGGTTTAAAAGTCACATTTCATAGATACACAAAGAGATGAAATCAAAAACCTTTAGTTTGGGTGGCATAATCTAACCATTGGTTGATATGGTATTAGGAAAAATAATTTCTATGGTGGTCAAAATACAAATAATGCAAAGAGTTTGGCATTTCTTTTTGAGGTTAAGTCACTGATGCTATTTCCTCCCCAGGCTGTATATGTTTATCTTTTTTTTTTCCCCTTTTTTTTTTTTTGTAATATATTTCATTTAGCACTCACAAAATACAATTAGATCCAGACCATTTGTATTTGCCATCTTTGTGCATAGAGAAAGTGACTCCCAACAGCAGATTTGTTCATCTCCAATCCTGGGAGAAGTTGGGCTTTGGTTGCCTTGTGCTCTAGTGCCTGTGTTTGTAAGCGGTCTCTGCAGCAGGCAGGGATGTCTGCTCTGTTCAAGCCAATGTTCACTCTGGTCCTCTCTCCRTTGCAGCAATGCGGTTGTGCACCGAGGAGTGCAGAGTCCTGGGGCACTCGGATCAGTGCTGGATGCCGCCGCTGCCCTCACCCTCCTCTGACTACCGACGCAACATGTTCATTCCAGGGGAGGAATTTCAGTCACCGCAGCAGCAGCAGCTGCCRCAGCAGCAGCAGCAGGGCCTCGAGGAGGATGCGCAGCCCTCTGACGCCGGAGAGAAGAAGAAGAGTTTCTCAACATTTGGTAAAGACTGTCAGAGCGAGGAGGAGTCGGGGGACACCTGCACCTCCTCCCTGCTCTCCGAAATGAGCAGCGTCTTCCAGCGCCTGCTGCCTCCCTCGCTGGATGCCTACACGGAGTGCAGCGAGGGCGATCGCTCYGGCTCGCTGGAGCGCAGGAAGGGACATTTGCCAGCCAAGACTGTGAATTACCCGCAGGGGGTGGCCGCATGGGCAGCCAGCACGCATTTCCAAAACCCCGCCAGCAGCAGCGGGCCCGCGCTGGGGACGCACTCGGGCGCGCAGCCTTCCTCCAAGTGGCTGCCCGCCATGGAGGAGATCCCGGAGAACTACGAGGAAGACGATTTTGACAACGTGCTCAACCACCTCAGTGATGGTAAACACGAACTCATGGATGCCAGCGAGCTGGTGGCAGAAATAAATAAGCTGCTGCAGGACGTCCGGCAGAACTAGCCGTCTCAGAAACCTATTTTCCATATTTATGGAAAACTGGAAGGGGGGAAAAGAAATCAAAAAACAGACTGAAAAGAACTGGCATTGCCAATTAGTTGCATTTATCATAAATGTGTCTGTGTATGTTGAATATTAAAATACTGTATTTTCATATGTACACAATGCAAGTGTGATTATCTTTATCTGTATTTTAAAAATACATTTGTACCTTATATTTATGTGTAATTTAACAAATAAATTTTATTTTTGTACACCCACRGCAAGCATGTTTTCCTAAATGTATATAGATGGTGCCATCCTTGTCAGACATCCAACCACACATGTGAACATGCCGAACATGTAAAAAGAAAAAAAAAATTAAAAGAGGGCATGGCTTTCTATTATTATTTCTTTCAAGTTTCAAATGTCACAAATACAAATTCAAACTACTGAAACATTATCCAAACATTAATAACTGATCCAACACCTTGTTGCAATGTTTCATTCTTTTAATAAAGAGTTGTCACCTCCCTAAAAAGCCTAAAATGTCCTTTTTATTTTCATGTTGAGTCATTTTCCCATTTATTTAATGGAATAACTAAAGGCTGGGGCCACCTTCTGTTTTACAGAATTTTTCCTGAGTGGAAAAAAAAAMACAAAATTCAATGGTGGAACTTCCAATATTATCAGTGCAAATAATGGTTAAGTTGTTCTACCATCATTATACTGCAAAGCCAGCTGAAGTGGGAGGTGTATACTTGAAAGCAATAAAAACAGCATTTCTGACCTCAGTCCGAGTTCTTGCCTTGTGTAAACACAGAACTACAGCTGATGGTTTTATCTATGTAAATGACACCAAAAGTAAACTGTGTTTGCATCCGCCGGGAAAGCAGTAGATTACAGCTATACTTGGCCTCTGCTCTAAGTGCATCTGTGTTGTATTTGCCATGGAGTATAGAAATGTGCCAGCTTCCTGTAAGAGCACCATCTTGGTGCAGCCCGGCTGGATTTGCCTGCATCCCACAGCTCCGTCGCCCCTCGCTGCATCCCAGGCTTCCCAAGCGCAGCTCCTGACGTGGAAGCGACTCGGAGACGGCTCAGCTGTTGACACTGCAGTGCCGTTGCCTCAGGCAATGATCCATGATCCCTGCATAGGAGTCAGAGTCAGTCTGGTCCCCTCTTTTTGAGAAATGTGGGAGGATTCCTGATGCTCATTTCAGGAGATTAATATAATAACGAATTAATGCTAAGTTATTACGGGCTAGGCAAGAAAACGGGGATGACAGGCTTTCATTCAGAGCTAGGGATGATTTTCTTTCTGAGATCTGTTTTCTGCCAGAAATGTGAAAGTCTCTGGAAATAGTCCCTATGAATCTAGATGTAAAAACCAGCAGGTGCCTTTATTTGGGAGAGTTGCACACGTAGTGTAAACTTTGTATTATTTTTTAATGATAGAAAATTCCTGATGTAACACTCTTTCCTTAAAAGTTTGCAGATTCCTTCTGTCACCCGCGCTGGACCAGCCAACCCAGCCCCTCATCATTTCCATCCCTCAGCAGCTGCATCCTCCTCCTTCCCTGCGGGCACCTATGAGCCCTGCTGGCTCTGAGCAGCCTCACCTGGGCCCCAACCCTGGCCAGGAGCTCATTTAAGCCCAGCCTGAAGCCTGCAGCCTCTTTCCAGTGTTGCWGGAGGAGCCCGGCCTCCTCTTCTGCTGGGATGGAGCCAGACCTTCCTCACATCCCTGCCCTCAGCCCGGCTCGCTGCGCTCAGGTATGTGTCCTCGTGGTGGCGACTGCTGGGTGGCCCCGTCCTGGCTCCAATCTCTTAAGATCCTATTTTGCTCTATATTTTTTGCATGGATTCCCTAATCCTTGTGCCCACCTGGTTTCCTCAGCASCACTGTCCTGGGTGGGAAGAGATTTTTCCTGCCACTAGTTTTCCCCAGGCGTGGACCCAGGAGTGGATATTAATTCCAGCCTGGAAACACATGGTGTGTGAAGCAGTACCAAGGGAACGGGAAGCTATGTTAAAAATGTACAGCGTGGTAGTTCCTGACAATAGCAAATTCATGTGGAAATGGTTTTATGTTTTTCTTTTTTTTTYCCTATTGACATGGATAAAACACTGTAGTTTGCCATGAATTCAGCAGCTAAAAATGAACCTCCCCTTCAAATGGTGCGGTTCCGTCTTCTTAAATAAATGCAGATATTATTTCCCATTTCTAGATGAGGGAGTATTAGACCTTCAGGCCTGGGTTGCTTTGCACTGTCTCCAGGCTCGCAGGCAGCCTGATAAGCTCCATTTCACAGTCCCCGCACCCACCAGGGATTACCAACCTGTTTTAAATTTAAAAATCCCTAAATCAGTTTATGTCCACTGGCCTGTGTCAGAGGGATAGTCTCAATGATTTAAGGAATCATTGTGTGCAGGGGAGGCTTTCTAGCAAAAATAGATCTGAATGAATTTCTCCAGCATCGCTCTGCATCCAAATGTCATAAAATACCTAAGGTTGTCCTAGAGGGGATTTCTGTACCAACACACAGTAATAGTATTTGGTATGTGCATTGCTGAAAGAATTTTATCATGTAAAGAGACCGGTTATATGACCGATATGGGCTCCGGGAGCAAGAATGTTTGTTTACTTAGATTGTATCTGAAATGCCACAGAGCCTGCACTGCATTTATTATCAACAGAAAGCTCGCTAGAAGTTCTGGAGATTGTGGTAAATGGAGAAAAATCTGTCTTGATCTTACTCAATTTAGGCTTTCTCAGGCATTCCTTATAAGTGGGATGAAGGTATATAACTTTTAGCATCAATCTTCTATAACACGAACAGGGCACAGTGATACTATGCAGATCAAAAAGTAATCTAGATTGCAGACCTACAACCAGGAGAGAATTATTGGTTGCTCATGTATTTTAAGCATTAAATAAGCATGATTMTGCTGTCAAAAATCTACATGGTTGGCTCCTCCATAAACAGTGGGTACAATTCTACACTCGAAGCCAAAATATTTTCCCCCTGGGTGATCTTCATGACAGAAAAGGTCATGAAAACCAGCATATCTTGATCATCAAAATGCCTGTGATTTATATGTAGTTCTGCCTTTGCTCCTGTAGATGAAATTAATAGGACTTTGAATAAATAGAAAGCTTAAAAGATCCTCAACCACTCTTCCCTCCACACCGCCTCTGCCAAGGACTGCATGTATGGTTTCTTTTTTAGCCACTTTCGAAATGAGTAGATGCAAAAAATATACTGGAATAATGATCAAAGATGGTGGGTTGTATGACCACTTATTTAATTTGTGTTTAAACTATTTCTGTAACCACTGCATCACACTTTGCTAATGGACACCAAATAGTATAAACACACTGAGAGGATGTGGGGGATGTGGCTGACAGTAAAGTCTTTGCGTTCTCCACCCTGATAGTGTTTATAGTTGCTAGGTTTAAGAAGAGAAACAGAAAGCAAACAAAAACTACCACAAAATATTTAAACTTTAGTTTCCTGTTTTTTATTTTTAGTAAAAATTGAAATCCATAGAGTCCTCGGAAATGCTCTCTTCCTCTTCCGTATGACTTGTAGGGAACTTCAGATATTTTCAGAGATTACAAGGCTAGAAAGACCTAAAAGACAAGGCTGTCAGCTGTGCATATAAAATATAAACCTGCCATACTTGCACGTAGAGCAAGCATTCAAAGTTCACCAGCAAGCTGTGGAAAGGCTGGATTCATGAAGAGGAGAATTTACCCTTTCAGTAGAGATGCATCTGAAGATTAGTCTGAGTTGTTTTATAGGAGAAGGGAGGAGAAAATACCCACAAAGTGCTGTCTCTTGGTTAGCATTAGAGAGCTCACATAGGAGCTGAACTGAGCAGGGATGCCTGCAACGGGCTGGTGTACATACCTTTCCTTCAGGAATGGCGGCTGCTCCACAAAGGAGTGGGATTGTGCCCCCGAGTGCATCCCTGGGTCAGGCTGTGTCTTCACCTAGACCTTGTCCTGCTGTAATTTGTAATACAGCTTATACAAATAAGGAAGGAAGTGATAGCATTTTAAGTTCGATCCATAAAGCAATAATTAGCAATCCTACAGCACTTTACATCCTCAAAGTGGTATAAACATAAAAGATTGAGCACTTAAAAAACCTAAACATTTTCTGGGATCAATTGGCCTAGTGCTGGAAAGAAGCCTGTCTGGAGTAAGGCATAGGAAGTGTTTAAAGTGATACCTGTATAAAGCAGAGATTATAAGGAAGAATTTTCATTTTGAAATATAAGCCTTTAAATAAAACTCAGGGGAGATGCAGTCAGAACTAGGTAATAATCCAAACTGAAATCTGGTCAGTGCCCACATCCCCCCGTTGCTTACACAGATACTGCTATGGACAGCTCAGTGGGAAATGGCCAAAGAAGCTGCTTTACAGATTGCCTGAAGCACTTAGGGCATCGCAGTGACTTTGATGGGATACTGATCCAAGGGAAGAAGGCACCATGGAGGGAATCGACAGCAGCTCCTTGCACAGAGCCTGTATGTTYCCTCCAGGGCTCTCCTGTTGTAATGACCGTGTGTGTGTACACGCAGGTRTCTCCCATAAGTTTACAAAGTCACAGAAATCCGGGGATTTTACTTGAGGCAGCTTTACCTTCATAATTTTGTGAAGAAAAATATTTTAAACCAGACTAAGGGGCAGAGCTGCAAAATTTCAGATTCTTATGAAGTCATAGGAGATTATAATCTAGCTCCTAAACGATACATTCAAAATATGGAATTTACTTGTTGACAGAGTCCATTTCTACAAGTTCCGCTCTGCTGTGAAGGCTGTATACGTTTCTCTAGCATGGTAATACCCATGTCTGGCCAACATCTGTCCTGAACTGGGCACCTGACTGCTGGGGCTCGTGAGCCATTGCCCGACTTTCTCGGAGATCAGGGCCTTGCACAGGTTTGGCTGTCTGAGCACGGCAGTGAAATGGGTCTTGGAAAAGGCAGGGATGGGATAAGGAGGGTCGTGTTTGGGCTGGCATTGGCTATCAACTGCCTTCCCTTCCAGATGGTTACCTTGAACCCTCATTCTGTTTCTTTTCTCTCTRTGGCTGACAATGCTTAGTTTGGATGTTAATGATATTTAGAAGCAGTTTTCTACTGCATCAAAAGCAAGGACTGAAATGGTGTGGAAGGCTCTTGTATTTGTATGGTGGTTTGGGCAAGGAGTTT